GTACACACTAACTCGGAGGACAAGCTAACAAATTACTGGGCTTCACAAGTACCATTACTGATGAATGGAAGCTCTTGTCGGGCTTTGCTTTATTCTTTTAGGGGGTAGGGGTTTTAGGCCGAGGGTAGAGAACATGGTGGCCAATGTCCTCTTCTGGCCTCCACAGGCACCAGGTACACATGTGGTACAAAGACATACATGCGGGCAGAGCATCCATACATAGAAAATGAAGATTGTTTTTAAGTTTAAGATTATGTCAATTAATGATTAATGACTACCTCATCTGTCATTACTATTTGTTCAGTTGCCAGTGGTCAGATCCCAGACATATGGACATATATTTTTTAATCTAATCACTTAATACATTTTAAGTTCAGAGTTCAATCTTTCATTCTATTAGTGCAAGCAAATAAAGGCCACAGAACATCATTTCAGGTCTCAACAAATCCATGAAGAAACAAGATTAGCTGAGGAGACTGGAGACAAGATGGTGAGAGATCTGGACAGATACCAATGAGCCACAAAGTTCTAGAGCCATGTTTACTTCAGACACAGAAAAGAGCTCACGTGTCTGAGGGACAGCAAACATCCAACTGCAGTGAAAATATGGATCAGAAAAAAAAAAAAGACTCAACTATGCAAGAAAGAAGCAAGATCGTGCCAGGCCATAGTTAAGACTTTGGATTTTATCCAGGGGTAATGGGACTAGGTTGAAGGAGGTTCTGAATGGGACTACATGAGCTACAGTGAAGAGAACTGAGTGAGATTCAGACACACACGGAGTGACTGATCTCATGAAGGCATGATGAAGATCTGGACCCCAAGGCATACGGTGGTGAGAAACTTTTACTTGAGTGAAATCCTAGAGGTCAAAGCCAAGCAGCCAGCGTCGAGATCATGAACGTCCTCACTGACTCACCTTCCCTTAAAAGCAGTAGGAAGACTGCACAGACTTTGCTGACATACCAGGCCAGTCTCTATAGGCACACACCGGACTCCTCACCTCTGAGATGAGGAGCCACTGCTGACAGCATGCTCAGCAGCACTAGGGGCCTGCCCAGCAACCACAGATGAGGATTTCTTTACAAGTACAACGAATTCAGGGCAAAGTTTCGTTCTGGCTTTGGCTTTGTTGTTGTTTTGGTTTTGAGACATGGCATTTACTCTATAGTACAGAGAAACCTGGAACTCTCTAGCAGCTCAGCTGACGTCAAAACTTGCAGAGAGTCTCCTGCCTCAGTCTCCCAAGTGCTGGGGCTAAAAGCATGAGGAAGGTTTATTTAGTTTTTAGGCACCTTTGTGTAAAATATCTTTCTTTCCTATTTTGTTTCCCAAAATCAACTAGGAAGCTACTAGGACCAATCACCAGGCCAATCTTGTGAGCACAGGAAGTCACACAGTTCACAGTCTAATTACCATTGATCCTGCTAAAGATAACCATTCCTTGGGTCATCTATCCTCCAATCTTAATCAGTTATCACCTCTGCCTAATTCAAGGTCCCACTGATACCCTCCGTCCTTCCCATGTGCCCAAGAGACTTCACTTTACATGGGAAACAAGCATCCTCCTTAGTCCCGTTAAGAAACAATGCCTTTCAACACACTTGAGGCATCCCCATAATTAAACCACATGCGATCTGGCCAAACCTTCGAGTCCATCCAAGTCAAGAACAGAAAGAAGCACCCATTTCTATGTGCTGAACCTGAAGATGGTAAAGAAGCACAATTTTGGTGAACTTGATGATCTCAAAGTCACAAAGATGGATGAGAGCTAAAAACAGAGTAGTGCTTGCTTATAATGCACAGAGCCCTGTGCACAGAGGCCTCTACCTGTAATCCTAACATTTGGAGGTGAGGGTAGAAGAGTCAGAAGTTCAAGGCTAAACACCAAGTTCAAAGCCAACCTGGGATACGTTAAGACTTCCACTTAAAAAAATAAAAGAAAAGAAAAAAGAAAACAAGGCTAAAAATAATCTATCCAAATGTTAAATACGAGGGAATGCACTCAAAGAACTAATACATATCCATGGAAAGGAAAATGCCAGAAACAAAGGCTGATGTTAAAGACTACTTACAGCCTCCTGAAATTAGCCATGTCACTAGATCAAATATTGTGTGTTATGAATATCAATCATTACATGGTTTATTTAATACTACTAACATATGTTGCTGTATACTAATAGAAAAGGAAAGGCTATATAAAAATACATAAATGTCATCTCTTAAGGGAGAATTATGATTTCTTCTTAGTGCTTTTCTTATTTCCCTCTATTTCAAAACATATTTTTATGTACAGAAAAAGTCCAAAATATGTTACTTTTAAAAGTCAATAATCATAACACACCAAATATCTTGTTCAATAAAATGTACATAAACTTTGACGTTATATTCTTGTTCTACAACAACGCAATAAACAAACAAACCCACACCAGTTCCAAGTCCTCCAGGTGATCACCTAGAACACAGGTAATTAACAAAAGCCAAAACCCTTAAGACTTCTTTCTATAAACCTACCATTCACTCAATAGTTCAGCAAATAGTTTAACTAGTCTCTCCAATTAGCCATCTCTTTCAAATGCCTAACGGCACTATCCAAAGCAAAGGTTATATGGTAGATGCCAACTACCACACTGACAGTATATACTTGCTTTGGACAACAGTCTTGATGTATAAAACAAAATCAAACACATACTTTTTAATGTTCTATATAAAGAGATTTACTCTTTGTTAATTTGCTTTAAGGTATACCTGCATATTGTCTGGTTAATGCACCAAACTCATAACAAATGACAGACTACCAGGAAGATATTCAGCACCCAAATAACCACAGAGAAATCAAGAAGGAAAATTCCTCTCACAGGTTATGTAATGGACCACAACTCACTTGGAATAAAGATGAGACTCACTTAGAGTAAGGCTACCTCCGAGATATTCCTTTCAAGAGCCTGCCCCCTCCTTGGGGAAGGTGTGTCAGGGACTGAACATGGGGTTTTACATGTGCTAGACAAGACTGGGCTGTGCCCTGAGCCCAATTCCCTTTTAAAATCAATGCTTCATCTTTTAAAATTTAGCACTGGAAATAATATTTCCATCATAATTCCATCAGAAAGAATTCCTTAGTAACAAGCCTATACGGGCAGAAAACATTGAAACAATTCGCCAGAGCATTTCTTTTGATGTATACTATAGAGCATGAACGTCTAAGTATAATAGTTTATATTCCCAAGAAAATTACGGTTCTGGGCTTTTTGTTTTATGTCATAACTGAAAGAAAAGTTGTCTCAAAAATATTTTTAAAGGAACAGTATCAGTAGTAGTCAATCAACAGTAGTAGTAGTTTTGTGACTGAGAAAACAGTAGAATCTCTCCCAACTAAGTAAGTGCAATGCTAGACAGCTTCCAACACAACTTTAGACATGCTGTGCGTCCTCCGGAACGCTCCAGTCTCTGCAAGTGTGTATGCCGAAGCTCTACCCTAAAATGATCCTCTCTGACCTGCATTGCAAATCAGGAGATGGCTCGTATGGTTAATAGCTTATGCCTAAACTTTGTCTTTCAAAAAGTAGAGGTAGGCCTAAGGCGATGGTGCATCAAATGCACCTAACAAATGGCAGCAGGCAGTGAGCTGGAGAAGAGGAAAGGTCAGGGGGAGGACACTCAGAAACACAGTCCTGCTCGGCACTTGTCACATACTGTAGCAGCTGCACTGAGAGGAGCTGCTTCCCAATTCTATCTCTCCTCTGGTCAGAGAGCACGAAAGCTGCTCCATTGTTGGGCAGGGCTTTTTAAAAAGAGTCTGAAGATTCAGGACCTAGGCAGGCCTGAGACAAATCAGACAGGCCCGATTCCATCATTTAAAAGTGGGTATTTGTATTTAACTTTGTCTACACTGATTTAAACAGCTTTATTCCTCTAGTGTGTGTTATCCTACAGCAGCAACGCATCGAATCTTTAATTAATTGAGAAAAATCAGATTACTCTGATTTAGCAGTGATTATATTAATTTTAGCACAGTGGGAAGTTGTCTTTCCATGCAGAGTAATTAAGCAAAACTCCATATATTTTTAAAGGTTTCTGTACATAATGCCTTCCATTCATCTTGCAATCTTTATTAAAAGTGTGCAGCATGGACTGTTAAACTTAGGCAAGAACACAGATCTCTTCAAACACAGCAGGTTAAAAGGTAGTTACGAGTCCCTGACTCCCACACCACCTAAAGCATCCTATTAACACTGCAGAGACACCCAGGCTCCAAGCGACAAAGGTCAGGCAGGAAAGAGGGCAAAGGCAGCAGGGCTCAGACGCTGAGACTCAAAACCACCAGATCCAATGCAGCATTCTGAGAATGAAGATCAATGGGAACAGCAGCTCAGGATCTCCCCGGTAAACACAATCCTGAAGACCGTGACGAGGGGCTTCCCATCCCAGCATCTCCTCGGTGCCGGGGGCTGGCACTTGCTTTAATAAAATTAGTAAGCTCAAATCTGCATTATTGGAAGTAAAAAGACAATCTACTGCCCCAGTTCAAATACCATGGCTGTCATGGTAAAAGTGAAAAGCTGTGCTAAAATCTGGTAAAAGTGAAAAGCTGTGCTAAAATCTGGTAAAAGTGAAAAGCTGTGCTAAAATCTGAGAGCAGAGCGGCCGAGTATTTAAGTATCGATAAGGCAGCAGGTTGTCTTTCCAATGAAAACTACTTCTACAGTAACACCAATGCCCTTGTCTGCTCAACAGTGAAGGGCTTAAAAAGCAGCCGAGAAGAGGAGGCAGAGGGAAAACTGTGCTGCAAGCCATAAAACTGACAAAATATGAGTAACGTCATGATTCAATGCTGTACTTCTAAGGACCAGAAGCAGTAAGATTGCTACATATATCTACAACAGCACAATTAATAAGCTAGCTATCCAATCAATGAGGTATTTAGTATTTTCTGAGCTTCATTTCATTCTGTGCATGAAAACCTTACGAAATCAAGCAGTCTGCTAGCTCTGTCTCCTTACCTGTGAGGACAGCTTTTGCTGAAGGATCTGCCAGGTCCAGAGCTGATTTCCCATCAGTGTTCCGAATGTTTGGATCGGCTCCGTGCTGCAGCAGCACTGTGCAGGGAAAGCAGAAACAGTATCTTACCTCGGGGAGACAGAGATTATTTACTGGAAAGTGTCGCCTCGGCATGGTGTAGGCATACACATACATTGCACAATGTTTTCTCTTTCAAGAAAAGAGAGAGGAAAGAAAAGGGAAAGCACTGCAGCACAGGAGCCTCTCTAGAGTAAAGCAAGTTGGCAACTTAAGGTACAGTGTTATCACATGACTTGACATCATAAACATGAACAGAAGCTTGCCCTGGACGGTCCTGCTCTGCCTCCTCCGGGGGCAGCAGGATGGGAGCTGTGTGCTTGTCACTGACTCGCCGTGAGCTGTGCTGGCTGGGGCTGTCCTAGCTTCACTACCACTGTGGCTGCTTGTTGCTGCTGCTTCTCTGCTGCATTTCCCAGTCTGCCCCCTCAGAAGAGTTGTAACACTGGGCCAGCGGGCTTTTAGTGGCTCACCGCTTACACAGGAAACTCACCATCAACACACTGGCTTGCTTCCAGAAGTTTAACTGACACAGTACTACATGCAACTCCAGCTCTTGCAGTCATGTTACAAAAAACAACTATCTCCTAGATTATGATCCTCCATCCAATTTTTAGAAATAGAAATTCAGTCACTGAAATGCATGTAACAAAGCTATTTCATGAAAAACAACTGCAGAGACTCCTTCAGACTCAGAAGCTTTTATAAAAGGATGGCCTGGGAAATAAAACATGGACATGACATTTTGGTAAGCCATCTCTGCTGTGTTAGAATAGTGGAGGCTGGAGACTACAGGCGTGTATCACCTATCTGATATTTAAACATGTAAACTAAGTATCTCTAGTCAAATACCTGAAATCCAAAGAAGTGAGAAAAGTGAATCTTTCTAAGCACATGTATATCACACAAGTAGAAAATTCTGTTTGACCTTGTGATAGATGGGCACTAAAATATAGACTAACTCACTGCCGGGTTATGTATACATGGTATATGTGAATCACAAATCAACCTCATGGTTAGACTTGGATTCCAGCCTCAAAACATCTCATTTTTATATATGCAAATATTCCCAAGTCCCAGGGAGCGGGGTCTGAACTTTGAAACACTCTGGTCTCAGATATTTCCGATGAGCGATACTTGTATCTTATATAAGATCTTTAGGGTCTGACATGTGGCTCAGCTGGTAACGTGCTTGTTACACAAACACGAGGACCTGACTTCTGATACTCAGCTCCCACGTAAGAAGGTGGGCACAGCATGATCCCTGGAGCTGGCTGGTCATAGTCTAGCCCAATCAGTGTATCCCAGGCTCAGTATGAGACTGTCTCAAAACACACAGTGGAGAGAGTGACTGAGGAAAACAACGGACCCTCTCTGGCCTCCATACGCACAGGTACTTTTCATGCATGCAAACACATTCCTAACAAGCCACTACATATACATACTGCACCCCCCCTCCGCCCCCCCCCCCCCCCCCCCCGCATCAATCATCCCTTCTCCCCCGTTTACAACAGTTCAGTACAAGTTTTGAGCTACTACTGATAATCTTCAAATTTTCATTCGAAGTACTACACTGAAGAAGCCCATGCATTCTTTTGGACTATTTGGAAGGTGATCTTCATATCACTGAGTCCTGCTGTTCATAAGCCAGTTCTTTCTGTGATGCATAAGCCATCAAATCAATGGCTTTGCTACAGTAGAAGCCGACAGAGGGACACATCCACATCTCTCGCCTTAGATCTGGGGTAATTTCACACTTGCAGTAAGATACAGAGAGACCTTGCAGACTTTTTACAGTCCTGCTCCTAAGTCCTGGGCTTTTCCATGAGTTCAGATGTCTACAGCCAATCACAGTCTGAAAGCATTAAGTACAAAGTTTCAGAAAGAAGTAATTATAACTTTCAAACCACACACCATTCTGAGGACCCTACTCCATCCATCCGAGAGGTGGACCAGTCCTTTGTCCAGTGTCTTCACACTGCGTGTACTACCTTCCCACGAGTCACTTAGTCACCTAAGCTCATCATCCTGGCATAGCATCACAGGGTTGATGCTCAAGTAACCCTTATTTTACTTAGTAATAGCCTCAAAGAGTAAGAGCAATGATGCCGGTGATTCAAATATCTCAAAAGCAGGTTAACATGTTTTCCTTAAGTGAGAAGATCAAAGTTCCCAACTAAAATGAAGAGAAAAAACATGTGTTAAGATCTATGGTTGAGGACAGATCTATCACTGAGACTGTGAGGAAGGAGAAAGAAATCAACGCTAGTTACGCTGTTGCACATCTCGGTAAGAACACCCTAGAGCACACTTAGAATAACTTTCACTACAATATAGTAATTTTGTCTTATTATTAGACACCAATGCTAAACTGTGATGCGTAATGCATTGATTAAACTTCAATACTTACACATAGTTTATATGGATAGGAAAGTACAGACACAGGACTCAGTACCACCCGAGGTTTCGGACATCCACTATGATTCCTACCATGTGCCCTGTGTACACTGGTGGGGAGAGGACTGCTGTGAATCATTAACTTGAATGCAGCAATAAACACCATCATTTTCCAGGTGTTTCTAAACTGACTCAAGAGCTAAGGAATAAAATAGTCACACAGTATCAAGTTGTTGTTACTGTATCATCCTCATGGCGATTACTGGTAGTCAACTTGAATACATCCAGAATTAACTAAAAATTCAAGCAGCTGGGCACACCTGTGGGGGATTTTTAGTTAACTGGTTCATCTGAGGTAGAAAGACCCACCTTAAAACCAGATGCTCTGAGGTCAGAACACCTACCCTAAATCTAGTCCAACCTTCATGTGGTAGCTACATAAAGGGCACAGAAAAGGCTTTTGCTCTTTGCCTGCTTGCCCTGATCTCATTGGCAAGTTCATATATCCTGCCACTGAGACATTCCTTCACTGGTATTAGAGTCTGCTTCTTTGCAATTCTGACGTATAGTGAAGACCAGATGAGACATCCATCCTTGTGGACTGAACAATTCTTGGGACTTTCCGTTGACTGACAGTCACTGTTGGACTAGGTGGACCACAGCCTGTAAGCCACTCTAATGAGTACTCTGTATATATGTAAATTCCTCTAGAGAAGCCTGACTATATAATCAAAATGAAGAGCTTTTGCAGAAACTTTTTTAAAGTTCCGGATTGGTCTATAAGGCATCTCAATCATAAAGCAGACTCAAGAACCAAAGGAAGGCGGCAAATACTTCTGCCTTAGTTGTTGAGTGATATGTGCAAAGAAAAGGCAGAGAAACAAAAGAAACAACTACCATAAAAAGCACTGGCTTTTATCTGTATTTGGGAATAACACCAGTTCCTACTTTAAATGGAGGTGAAGACATTTTTTATTTAGCAGAATATGACAATTACATAATGGGAGCTTTGATTCAGCATTTTTTAATAAGTGTTAGAGGCAAAGTATTGAAAGCTTAACTGTTCCTCCAAAAAGGACCTAAATCCTCAATCCTTCTAACAGTGAGTAGTTTACCTATTATAACTTTCCTATTTTGCAAGAGAAGGTGGCAATTTAGCCTCAGTTTTATTCTGGGTTAGGTGGTTTCAAAAGTAGCAACTGCTCTACTTAAAAAGTGTGGCTTTTAAGCATTTTGTGCTCACTCCTAGCTCTTTCTTGGACTCAAACACAGGCACATCCAATGCAGAACAATGTCACAACAGCAAAGACCAGTGGAATTTCTTGAATCAGCTGCTAATAAAATCCATATTAGAAAATATTTAACCACTAAGTTTATTAAGACACAGGTCACAAAAGAAACTCTATAAAGTTTAGGTACGAAGGTATCTGCAATTAAAATGACAGGGTCTACATTTGTCTTTCACACTGCTGAGAGGAGGAAATGAAAAGATAAAGCAGTGTGCAGAGAGGCTGAGCCTGAAGTCTGACAATACCCATCAGCCATCAGTCATTTAGAATACTTACAGGACATTTTAAAATGCAGACCTTTCAGTAGGCAAGTTCCTCCAGAAGCTAAACATCAGTCCTACCCCAGACGGCAGCTATCCCACCACTGGGAAGATGATACCCCAAAGATTCCATCTTAGCCCCACACCACAGCCACTTCACACTTCTCACAGCAGCCGAGTTATGGACAACCAAAATGGTCCTCAACAGGGAAATGCAGGAAGAAAATGTGCTTTCCATATACAATGGAGCAGGTTGCGACCATGAAAGTCATCGCTGGTGTTTCACAGTACTCTTGGCAGGGACTTAGATGGGGACTCCATTCTGATACTGAAGAGAGGCATTAACAGAAGCAAAGGTCGACGATGACGGCTCTCAGGAATGCCAGATAGTATTTTAGAGGTTGTATTTAAGAATCACCTCTGATGCCCCAAAATGTACTTTCCAAGTTCGGAACCATCAAAGGTAATTTAACTATCAGCACAAAATATAACTGGGATCCCTGCTGTGTGGTCAGTACAAACACCACAAGCCTCTCAGAGTATGCTAACATAATACAAAAGTAAAACATTCACAATCCAGAAAATAAATTAACAAGTACTGTGATTATCCATAACTTCCTGTATTTCATTTACTTATCGAGATATGGTCTCACTATACAGCCCAGGCCTCAAACTCATGATTCTCCTGCCTCGTCCTCAAAAGTCCTTCATAACTTCTACTATCTTTAACAAACTGAGATATGATCCAACCTTAAACCACTACATCTTGACTCTTCCCAGTTTTTCTACTGATGGATATCAACCTTATCACCTCCTTTTCAAGTAGGAAAGCTAGAAAAACTATGGCAGCTGATACAATAGATGGTTATAACACAGGCAGGACCAAATTCTCAAAAACATTCCATACAAGCTATGTTAAGGACATGTGATTTTCCTACCCAGTTTCTATTTATTTAGCAGAATCTGTTCAGATTCAGAAAACATGATTTTAGCCATGTTCAACACTATTAAATTTAAGTACCTACATCATTCTTACATATTCAAAAGAAAGTTAAACTTAATGCAAAGCTTCAG